AAAAATTCAGGTTTTCTACTTCTTTAAGTTATAAATAGAAAATAAAGAAGTACCTAAAAGAATAAATAGAAAATATCAATGTCAGATGTTAAAACATATATGATATTTATTATCAAAATAATTCAAACTTTATATATAAAGGTACTTCAACAATCTCCATTTTTATATTGGATGTTCTATCTCAAGAGTAAATTTAAATGACTTTTGAGAAATGATACCTTGAGAAAGAGATTCCTATATCACACACATACATATATACATCAACTTAAGCTGGATCTTAGTTTTGCAAACCCGTATTGAAGAACAGACCATCATCCTCCATCTAGCATACATGCTCATGGACTTCAACTTGTACATCCTCATGAGCCATATGTAAGCCTGAATCGCTCTGTCAGGTAATCCCCACTGCGTATAGGAGGAAATCTGCATTCACAAACAAGTATAGTTATCCCTAATCCTTGATCATATACAACCATTACAACTTCGAAGAAAAGACTTGAAAAAGCATTGCTTGCAATACAAGGAAATACAAGCAGAACAAAATAAAAAGCACAAAGAAAGGCTATTATGGAAGACAACTAGAAACAAGCTACAACTTTGAGATTTTGTTTCAATTTTCTTTGTAGGGATATGTTTCTATTCTACATGTTCAAATATTTTTCTGCCTGGGAGAAATTTCAAATCACGGAGTTAAGACAGGAAGGGGAAGAACAGACAGAATTTGGGAGGTAAGCAGGCTTTGTTTGCACAATTGCTACACTTCCATATACAATCTCTCATTTTATGCCAACCATAATATGTCCATGGTCCCTTCCAAGAGAAAACATATATATCCATGATCCCAAGGTATTCCATCGAGTCACATGAACATCAGGTCATCAATTTGTCAAAATTCACAACCATAAGCTGGAGTTCACTAGGAACGACGAGTTCTTCATAGTTTTCCTGCTGAATAAAACAAAACCAACAAATTGAAAGTTGACCAAAAATAAACTATTCGCATGAGTTTACCTTGGGGGACATGATTCACTGCAACAACTTTCCAAGCATTCCACTAAACAGTCTTCATTAGGATCTAAAAAAAATGCCACCTGAAATATTGCAATTTAAAAACTCGGTAGTAGAAGAAATATAAGGCCGACCTCAACAAAAGTAAAATGACACAAGAAACTTTGAAATGGAAAAGATGTTCTTGTTTGTTCATGGAAGGCAGCATAGGCCAAATAACTTCATTTGAAGCCATTTGAAACACATCCATTTTGTTTAATATTTAAATTGCCTCAAAATTTCAAATAACCACTTAATGTAGGAGACCCATTTCCAGCAATGCAATGAGAAAATCTTGAAATCATTAAAATAAACAGAAATTTTCTCCCAGAAACAGGAATATGCCACCTGACCTACAAACTTCACCAGCCCTACAGCCTAGAAGAGACTAGTACATTTCAACCTATCTGACCATTTGAATCTTATTCCCACTTCCAGTTTGAATGCCAGTTTTTTTTTTTTACAGTAAGAAAAAGAGAAAAAGGAACAGCAGCAGTAACAGAAACAGCAAAGGGAAATAGGCTGGTGTTTAACAATGGACTATCTTAAGCAGTTTTAACAATGGACAGACATCTTTCAGAAGCAGGCCAGCAGTCAGCTAACTCTAGTACAAAGATTCCACTAAGAAATCAAATATCTAGTCAATTGATTGAGGTTCACCGCCAAAATGGTGCTTGGGATTGTGGAAAGAAATATAGTTAAAGCATTAGGATACTTGAAGTTACATAATCCAGGTAAATGCTTGGTTTAAAAATAAGCAATTATGTATTACTGCTACTTGTAAAATATAATCAGTTGTTCTTGATTAAAAAAAGCTTATAAAATCTATATATTACAATAAGATATCACCATTAGGAACCTAATAAGCACCATACTTTTATGTTAAAAAGTGCATATTAAAGGTACTTAAAGCTATTCATAAGCAGCAAATCGACAATCCTATACACCCTCTAAAATATTCTCTGTTTTGGTTTACAAGTCTGATGTTTCTTCGTGATAAAGTTATTGATTTACTGCTTTAAGAAGGGCTAGTCCAGTATACCATCGGGAAATTCATATCCTATACATTGTATATTAACTTGCAAGAGTACTGAAAGTTATAAAACAAAATGGAAACACAAAAATGGAGAAGAAATAGATGGCTACAGAGAAACGCTCTTGTCCTGCTGGCATCACTCTATGCAGTGTTGACCTGCAAGTAGATAACAGCGGAGCACAAGTTCAGGGGTACAAATCTACATAATAAAGAATAGTTTGAAACTCAAGCATCTACACTGATTTTAGCAAGAAAAATAAAAAAAGAAGAGAACTCTCAACTCGTAAGTCTTCTAACAAGAAAAACCACAGCAAATTACCGAAACAAGCAATTGGTCCACCTCTCCATCATATCTCCTATGTTGACAAAAAAGGCCCTGTTATTGATTCAAAAAGAAAACAACAAAGGCCTGTTAGATTATAACCAACAGTAATGAGGCTCGGAAAAAAAAGAATATACACCTAAAACCAAGTTGGGACTACTACTAATTATCATGGTGTGCAACAGCAATACAGATGCTCTGCCTGGAAACCACTCTCGACAATTATTCTAGAAAGCTCAGAAAGTAGTGATACTAATTAGTTAAAACATCAAAGCATGTTAATCCCATGCATCATACAACTACTGGTTTCCTCATTAAACTTTTCCAAGGAAAATGTAAGTAGTTGCTTGACCAATTAGTGCTAGTTTGGCCAAACTGATGCTTGTGATGTTATCAGTTAAAAATATTGTAAGAATATCTTTTAACTGAAGTTCATTTTAGGTGAAAACAATATAGCCTCAGGAAAAAAAAAATGCAAAAAGTGTTGTCAATGTAAAATGTAGGAGGTACTATTTTTTATTAATCAGGATGTAGAAGTAGGGTTAGATGTCAGAATCACCAAGCATGATACAACAATAAAAATAACTATTACAAATAATCTAAATTTTATTATGAATATTTTCTTTAAATTTCTTTTCTCCGAATAACGACTTTTTCAAAATATAATGTTTTTCTCACAAGCATTTTAATGATGCAAAATTTACTTTAATTCTTAATTTTTTGCGTCATTTTTAATAATGGTTGAATAATTTATTATAAAATGGTAAATTCCTTATGACAAAAGTAGAATTGTACTTTATTTAAAAAAAAAATACATTGAGCATACCAATCAACAAAGGTAATATTGATAAAAAATATTTATTAAAGATAATATCCTTATTTGAGCACATTCTACGCGAAGTATCTATTTTGGTTTCTGATGTTACCTTTATCAAAAGCCAATTTTGGATTTTTCTTTTTAATTAAGATCGTTCTATTTTTAAATCTTCATCCAAACTTTACTTTCTTACAACAAAAGTACATTGGCCAAACAAAATCTAGAAGTTTCGATCAAAAGACTCTTCCCTCCTCACACCAGATAGCTTTTGTTCAGGAAAATAGTGGACAACTTAGACTCACCCAGTTATATTAGGGACATCCTCCCAGATTCGTAGTTGTTTGAACTTCTCCCTGCAAACCTATAAGCAGTATAAACCTGAGATATAACAAGAAATAACCATATCAAGGATGATAGCT